CCTTTGAATGGATGAAGGAGAGGAACTGAACCCTTTTGTCTTTCTGGAGTATCATAGTATGTTGTGTTCTTTAACCCTTTCCTAGCAGTTTGAAATATTCTGTGGACACTTTCTGCTCTCTGCTGATCTGGTATTTTTAAAACCTGTTCACAGTGACTAGAACTGAGTGATGACATTACAGCAGGTGCATTACAGCATAATAAACTGAATGTATATTTAAGATTTTTTTTAATATGTATTTAGCACTTACCAAAACTGATCACCCAGTCTCTTGAGATTTTGCTGTTACCTCTTAAAGGTTTTGCTGCATGCTCAGTATGTACTGGCAAACTTCAAAACTAAGATGAAACTTGCATTTGAATGAAAAGTGTAAAGGGCTTMAATAGTCGAATGTAAATATCTGTATATGTGAACATGAAAAGAACAAAGTTCAGTGTATGCTCTGAAGATTGTGTTAAAATTATACGTTCCTTGCTCAGAGTATCTGAGTGACATTTAAATGAGATTTCTCTGTCCTACAGAAATCGAAGGAAAATACCAGAGTAATTTGTAAGCGCTGCAAGACAGTCCTGGGAGAAACAGTATCATCAGGTATGGGATTTACAAACTAGACTTTCTCAGCCRCTGAGCACTTGAGACAAAAGTCTGTAGGAAAATAATTTGAGTAAGATACAGAGCCAATTCCTCTGTATTTGTCTCATCCCTTTCTGGAATGGATGAGATAGTTTGCATTGTAAGTCTTTAAGTGATTTGCTGCAGGATCTTCCTTCATCCTTGTTTCTGTGGCATGCTCAGCTATTTTCAAAGCTTTGGGAAACCAACTACATAATTCTAGTTTATTCAGCATTCTAATACAGGTTGATCTGAGAAATTACAGGTAGTTTAGCATGGTGTCAGCCSTGGAGAATAATGGAAAGGTTAAAACAGGGCTTGATCAACAAAGAATGAGAAGCTAAAGATAGCTATTAGCTGCCAACCTGGTTTTGTGTAAAGTACATCCTGTCAAAGACATGTCTCCTTTGATGAGAGAAATTTCTCATTATCATTCAATCATGAGATTGAGATTATTGTTTTAAAAGCTGTCATATTGAATTAGAAGTTTTAGAGATGAGACTGATAGTTTTTAAAATGTAATTATTAGTTGGCAAGTATCAGTAATAACACTTATTAGCAGGTTCTTGCTGTCATTTTCCCTTTACTGCACTGCATCAATGTGAGCTCTAGTATAGAGAATCACACTGGAGAATATAAAATCCTTGTAGAAAATTCAAAGCCTATTTGAGAAATCATAGTGGACAGAAGACAGAAGATTTTGATTGTCTTGCAAACAAGAACAATGCAGGCTTTAGTAAAACCAGATTTAAGGTAAGTCTCTTGAAAAGTGCACAAAGTAATCTGTAAGGTGTTTGGAAGACAGTATCTTAAAAAAAGCTTTACAGGTTGCCATGAATACATGTTTTAATCTAAGATTTCACACAGTCATAGCAAGAGCAGTTGATACGACTGCTGCATGTGGGAAAAAGGGAATTCTGTGTAGAAGCAGGGGTTTGATCTGAACTCTGTGCATGGCTAACATTAGATTTCATATCCAGGTTTTCTAACCATGTTTCAATGCTAGTATAGGACTGTCAGGGAAAGGTGAAAGAACAGACACAAATGATACAGAAATGCATGATGTGAGTGTTGATAGAAAAACACTATGAAAACACTGGTGTGCAAACTTCACTGAAATACTTTGATAGCTTTTTATAAGCAAAAATATCAGTGCCCAGAAGGTCAATTGGGTCTTGGTGGTGTAGCCAAGGAGGTGAGGTTTGATGTTGAGACCTCCCTTGTAGGCTAGTCCTTCCTTACCTCCATCTCCCTATATTCACAGGTGGGATTTCTTGTGTGTACGAAATCTCATCTTCTATCCCTTTGTGAACAATTCATCTCCTCCTCAATTCCTGATGCCCTTGCAGCAGTACCACTAATTCCTTAAGGTAACAGCTGGAGAGCTARCATGAGTGAACGAGCTGCTGCTGCTTTTCTTCCTTGCTCCCAGGATTAGGCACAGCATGGTGCAGACTAAAATTAAACTTTAATGTGAAACATAATTTCCTAGCAGTGAGGATAATTAAAAAGTGAAATATTTGACTGTCGAGGAAGTGAATTTGCCAGAGCTTTGGAGTCTTTGGAACAGCACAAGGTGTTTTTCTGAAAAGCTTTCTTTCATCTAGTTTGTGAACAGATTTCAGATGAGACAATTCCTTCAACCCTTAAAGTGAACCTCTTCTCTCCCCCCCCTCCCCCCCCCCAAAAAAAACCAAAACCTTTCTGTTGTGTACATGTTAAGGCTTAGTGGAATTAATTTATTATTCTCTATACTTAATTTGTACTGCCTACTTTCTGGTTAGGCTGTATTTGTAGCAGAGACCCAGAGCTACACTAAGATGRCTTTTTTGACTGGCATTTATTGATAGAGATTAAATTCTAGACTCRAGCACTTACACTCTAGCTCTTAAAGGCTGCCTTTGGAGGTGCTTTTTGGGAACATTTATGTTGAAAGTTGGAGAGTACCCTTTGTGCATTAGTGTTTACTTAGTGCAATTTTTGGAGAAGAAATTCCTTTCTGCTCTTTGAGCAAAGAGGAAAATTAGCCAAGTGTGCTGTTATTAAAACTGTCTTGTGATTCACAGCAGAATTACTGAGCAGGATGCTAAAGTACTTACGTAAGCAGTGCTGATTTCAGTTCTTTAGGAAAGTTCTTTCTTTCAGGTTTGGCTTGACAGTAACACATAATGGGCAAGAGTTAATTGGCACTAGCAAACATTTTAATGCATGAAATGTTTCAGTCCAAGTGCTTTGATTCTTACCTTGTTTCAAGATGACTGTTCCTAGCACTAAACAAAAATCAATAGAAATGATAAACTGCTGATCATGTAATTAACTCAGAGCAGTTTTCTTCTGGAAGTGAATGCTTTCTCTTATCAGTTGTACAGCATCTCTTCCCACAAACCAAAACAGGAACTTGACCAGCTGCTGAGTGCTGAGCAAAAGTTTGATTAGTGTGGTGATACAGTGACTTAGTCTACTCTGCAAAGTCTAGGGGTTTTTGTTTGTTTTGATCTACTTTAAAGATCTAACATTTGTTTCATTGTAGAGACCACTAAGTATTATGTCACTGAGGTGATGATCCAGCCATCTGAGGAAAGCTTCAGCACAATACCAAGGTAAAAATTTAAATATAAATATAAAATACAAATAAATATAAAATAAAAATAYAAATGTATATATAGCTTATTGAGACATGGATTTCAGGAAGATTCTAAAATATAGCGAAAATATTTTTGAATAATTAAGTATAATACAATGTTATTGAGTTCTATTTGATTATCACAATTATAAATGTAAATGTCTGGATTCACTCTTGTACGACTCTTTTTTTTTTTTGCTTGTGTATGTGGATAAAAGGCAGAAAGGTTATGAATCGGTTGTTGCAAGGATTCTCAGTATTCAGATAAGAAGCCAAAAATAGTTATTTTGAGTTATTTGATTTTTTTGATGACTTCTGATGACTAATTATGCAAGTGGAAGATTACATTACCTAAGTAAAGCTTGAAACTCTTAGCTGGAAGTGGGTTTTTGAATTTTCATGTAATCTGAAATTGTGAGTGAGCTGTCACAACTTCTTCCAGCTGTCCTGAATCATGTACTATGCATTAAAGTTCTTTCCTTTTGCAGATTCTATTTAAGATAGTGTCACTGTTCTGAGCCTTGTTGTGTCCATGTACCTAAAGTACTACAGGGAAAAGCTGTTTTTCTGCTTTTGACATTTGGTGTTCATCAAAATAAGAGTTTGGGGGCAGTTTAGATKGCTGATCTATTAAAAGTTACAGCTGCAGGAAGAGGAAGGTGCGTTGGTTTGGGCAGCCAAAGAAAATGAAAGCTCTATCTTTATTGAAAATGATTGTAATATGTGGTGTAAGTGACTTTATGGTTTGCTTGGGTACTTATATTTAATCAGTATAGTTGACTTTGCCAGTGTATTTGTTACCAGTATGTTATCAAACATAAATTTGGTTTATTCTTCTACAGGTCTCAGTTCGTACAGAACACGATAGCTCAGTGTCTTGTGGAGATTTCTTCTGCTAARAGCACATTTAGGTTCAGCATAAAAGGGGATGATGGAAAAGTCTATGTTTTGGTAAGCTTTTATATGGGAAAAAATGCAGTCCGTGAGTCCCAACTTCTAAAATGTATTATTTATACTATGCCTGACTGTATAGATAACAAAATTAATAATATAAATTGTTTTGTCTAAGCGATTTTGAAGAGTATGTTCAAGTAAAACTTTTTTGTTGTTTTGTTTTTTAAGTAGATGTCCATACAGAAATCTTTACTATTTATGCCATAAGGCTCCTAAGGAAACTTAGTGCATAAACAAATAGACAAACAACAGTGTTTGTCACTTGGGTAATACTGAAAGATTAAGGTTTTGGCTTGTACAATATAGGTTTCAGCTTCTTGTTCAAATGCTTATCTGTAATCACTGAAGTCAGTCAAATTGTATAGTATATTTCACAAAAATTGTCTTAAGTCAGCAGAGTTTACTGATGCAGTGCAATGTATTAGCCTGTAAAATGAAGTGCAGACAAAAACAGAATTGCCAGTTGCACTTAATGCTGTTGTTAAACTTGGKTAAGCTTTATGTATAAACAGCAGCAACTGAATTTTTCAAACTTGTAAGATGGATAGGGATTTGATTCTGAAATTATTTTAACGTTAGACACTTAATATAGTGAGATTTCATTCGGGAATGGAATATATACAGATAACTTGGAATTTTGCATTTGCATGAGTGATTCATAAACAGGAAGAGATAGGCAGTCTAAAATGTTTTTATAAATACACTGTATAATCTCTACAATTTTCAAACACCCAAATCCTAAAATAAATGTATACCTCTTGCCATTAAATATATTTTAGTGCCAGGATAGCATTTATGAAACCACTAGGAAATATTTCTGCAATGGCAAAATAAGGTCTCATGAGCAGTCCCGTAGTCWTTATTACATATAATCTAGTTAAAGGATCATTGAAAATTGTGATGCTTTTAACCTTAGTGTTATGTATACTCACATCACTGATTTCCTGTGCATGTATTGCTGAACATTATCCAAATACTTAACCTGCAGATATTTTTGAGTTTATTGCTTTAGTTGGTTGATAAGCACATTTTTAGAGACTTTGATTTTTTTGTTTTTTAATTTTTTTAAGTTATAGTAAAGAAACTTTTTGACTCGGGGGGTGTGTGGGGAGGAAGTTATCTATGCAGATTTCTTTACTTACACTAACTTTCTCTGCCCTGTTTACTTTCCCATAAAGAAGAGTCACTTGCCTTCCCTCAGTTCCAGTTTTGAAGAATTCCCTCTTAGGTTTTTTTTGTTGGTTTGTTTTTAATAGATATGGCTTTTAAATTCTGACACGCTGCTAGTGGAATCTTTAGGAAGCTCATCCTCCCATGATGTTTTTACACTGTTTGGGGATACTTTGAAGCCTGATTCTGGACCAGTGGGAGCTTGGGATGCAGTCAAGGTTCTTTACCAGCCATGCCTTAAAAGCAGGAATAAGGAGTGAGTATTGCCTCTTCTGATCTCAGGTTCTGAACCTTGATGCTTTCTGCCATACAGGTCAAAAATATTTCTTTCCTTGGGGCAGTCCATTAACCTTAGAAGTATGTTTTTTCAAGATCACATACTCTTTTTTTTTTTTTTTACAGAAAAAAAAGTGGCCAGAGAATCTAGTCGTTAAAATATTGCACAGTAATACTAAAATCTAGGTGAAAGTGTTAATGTTATTCTGACATGCACATAACTTAGATGATAGAAAGCAGTGTGCTCCGTTTTTCATTCATTTTTTTTTTTTCCCCTGCATACTAACTGGCTTTACTCTTCTGGAGTTTGGTCCTTTTTCCAGCTGTGTTGCTAGAAGCTGGAAGGATCGTGGTGCAGCATCTTGGTATGCYTGGACCTCAGATGTACTGAACACTGCATTTAACATTGTCACTGTTAGAAGATGTTTCACGTAGCCTGGCAGAGTATGAATAATGCCATAGCAGTAAGGCAAGGCCTYGGGAAGGTTCTTAGATGTGGTGCAGAGGGAGGTTCTTTGAATTATCAAATTAGCCTCTGTACTTATAACTTGGTTTCAGCCCAATGGTTGCATTATTTCAAATATTGAGGCCTTGAGGAAAGGAGAAGGAAGAGGCAAGGAAGGTGTTTGAGTTCAATACTGTAGACTTCTTTGTGCATCTGTCCTATTCTACTCAAACCCTCGTAAAGAATATTTGATTTCTGCAGGCTTTGCACTCTCCCTTATGGCAGGGTGAGAAGAGGGAGGGGGAAGAAGCTGGCTAACAAATTTAAGCCTTTAGCTGCAAAGATGTGAGAATATTGATTCACCTGTGATTCCAGTGTTTGTAGGTGACAATTGGATTTCTGGCATAATTTATTGCTCTTCGCAGTGAGAGAAGAGAAAGTGTTAGTTTTGTGTAGGTCAAAATTAAATAGTGGTTGGGTTTGTTACTTTTTCTTTGAGGTCTTTGAAACTATGACAGTTTTACATTGGTTCACAAGTATTTAAAATTTGAAGGCCATTCCCTCTAGCTTCAGTACCRATACATATTATTTTATAGCCTGACAACTCAGCACAAGAAGATTGCYTCATTCAAACGTATATATGCATTTCAATATTTTCATAGGAAAAATGTGTATCTTGTAAGAGAATGTGATTCATAGTATTTGTCCTGAATACAACTGCTTAGTTTATTCAGGCTGCTTCCTCAGGGGAGTGTGTTTTGAAGGAGGCAAGGGGGCAGAGCTTGGACTGAATTGAAACAAACTCTCTAGCACTCAAGAGTATATAAAGCTCTAAAATATAAAGAGCAGGCCACTCTATSATAGGAAGTATTATTGTTATTCATGTAAGAGGAAATAAATATYTTTGTCAATGTCATAGCTTAAAAGCTTGGCCTTGGAGAAGCTCCGTAATTTAGATGTTAGTGTTCCAGACAAATGAAAATATTCTTTTAAAAAGTAAACTGTTTATTCTTAGAAGTGAATATTCTTAGATCTTACAAGCAAGAGTACCAGCTATGAAAATGAAAGATATTTGATTTACCTCTGTAGGTTTGGGGTAAGTGTAACTTCCAAGCTCAAGACTTCTTCTCCAGTCTCAAAAATTTGGATTCTTGAAGCCAATCTAGTCATTAAAGGCTGCAACAAAAGCAGCCATCAGTGTCTTTACCTTTCTTTGTGTCCTCTGTCACCAGGTCCCCTTGCCCCACACTTTGCCTAGCTATTTGCAGAAGCCATTCTTGCTCTCCTGAACTTCCCTTTCTGTTTTAAGCTTCAGGGGAGCTGAAGGCCTTTGCTAGYCCCATCTGTGCATGCTTGCTCAGTTTCACAGTGTTCCTCAAGTTATCTGTCCCTGCTTCCACCTCTTCTGCATTGGCTTTTTATGCTAGGTTGGTCAGGAGCTTCTTTTTCCTCCRTGTAGGAGGACAATCAATATGGTCCATCCCAACAGGCAGGAAATCAAGAAAATTGGAGATGACTTGTTTGCAGCCTCCATTTTTCTTTCAGAAAGGCTCTTTCCACCTGCAGCTTTGCTRTGCAAACAAAAGAGGTCTTCTTGTCAAGTAACACATGCTTGGGAAATCACACCTTATGTGAACAGCCTTGTCTACTGCTGAAGTCATGATGTTGTAAAAATGCATGGAGAAAATARAGTTTCATTCAACCACAATTTGACCTCAAAGTGATTTGTGAAGGTACATGAGAAGAAATGCTACTGTTCCTTTTATAGTAGTGTGCTGGCTAAAGCATCGTTAAAGTCATTGATACTTCTTCTTGTCCTTTTTTTTCCCCCTCTTTTCTGGAGTCTTGCTTACAGCTTTTGCAGAAGCCTTCTCCTATTTAAGAATTTGTTGCTTAACAGAGTTGAAAAGTGACTTCAGAAAACYGTGTTTTTATTATTTTGAGAGACAGAATAAGGTAGAAAATTGAGTTTGTGGCTGAAACCTGGAACTTGTGATTTCAATGCCTCTGTTGCAGTTTTATGATTGCATCAAAATTTGTGTATGCTGAGTTGCTTGCGAAGCTGTGTTCCTGATAGATTCCACGATATTAAGTTATTTATTTGTCCCAAGAATGGCTTTCATCCTGTATATGGCTGCCCAGTAAGTCATCTTTCATAAAAGCTTCAAATTGTGTCCTAATTCAGTCTGGAATTTGTTCAGTGACACAGTGTTTCATTGATTCTTTTATGACTAAAATAGTGCTCTTTCCCAGTCCTTCCATAACTCTTGTCTGCAGAAAATATGTGGGAACAGGCAGGTAAGAGCTGCCTGGATGAGGAGTGACCACAGTTTTAGTTTTCTGTGGTCTGTTTAAGATGATTTTTGTACTGTAAACATGCTGTTACCTCAGATCTTTAAGTGAATGGACATGATTGGAAAAGAAGTGTGAAGGATTTCTTTTATTTCAGGTTACCTTCTCCTGCTCCCCTTCTGCATTGTTTTGTTTGGRTGAGGACAGGAGAGAACCGACACCACAGCTGAGGTGAATTGCCGTAGAGGAGCTTGCTGACCAGCTGGGCAGTGCTTGTGTAGGGAGAAGTGCTCTGCAGTCAGTCAGGGTTGGAGAACAGGTTTGGGATGGAAGAGTTAAAGACMCTTCTGAATTTAAGATACCCCTTCTGGAATGCTTGGAACTTTGCTTGAGCTTTGGAGGAAGCAATGAAAGCTCCAGTTGAGCATGATCATTTTTAGCTTGAGATTTACTCTTCRGGATATACTGGTGACATCCTTTCCCATCACCTTTCCCTGGCCATGGAGAAGGATGGTACCAGTGTATCCTGAAGAACTCCCTTCAGGAGAGGTGTTGAAAGTAAACCTGCCACATCCAGCGTCCTTTCATGGTAATTAAAGATTGCCGTTATTGTTCCTCAGCACAGGTATTATAAATCTTTAATTCCACAGAGTTGTCATATTTAAATCTTTCTAAATATAAGTATTATTAGAAGCACTAACTGAGGTAGAGAGGAATGTAGGAATAAAACCTGTGGTCACCAAAAGGAATCTTTTGGATTATTGCTCAAAGGAGGATAACCATATCTTAATTCCAGTTAGACTGGTTACTTACAGGGATGTTTCTGCTCAAGTCAGAAGAGAGGTTTCTGGCTGCTTTGGTATATCTTAAAAAAAAAAAAGAGAGAGAGAGATGCCCAATCTCACCGAGTCTACCTTTCTGGTTGTGTAGAATGGAAAATGTGTATGTCACTACATACTGAACTGTACTTTTGTTGCACTGCTCATTAGAAGTATGAAATGCTATATGCATAGTAAATGGTTATGTAAAAAAAAGAAATTATCTGTTAATGATATTGCTAAGTTACTAATGTACTAATCTTATTGGAAAAATATGATAAACATGCTTGAGATTTCCTATTTAGTATGCTTTTGAAGCAAGGTTTGTGGTTCTGTAGTAAGGCAGAACAAAAATATAATTGAGGCTTGTGTATTATATTCATTGCAATTCTTGATATTTATTTGCGAAACACAAATTCAGGTAAATGCAACTCAAGTCCCTCTAGGTAATATTGCAGTAGCTGTTTTGATAGTATCAGAGCTTGTAATGCTCCAAATCAGAAATTGGATGTGAAAAACTTGTGGATTAAAAGCACCATTATCTGAAGTCAATTCGTTGTCTGAAACAGCTGCCGCCTTGTGTAGTTAACTCCACTGTAAAAAGACCATTAAAAATAAGAAACATCAAACTGGGCCAGACCATGGTTCCAGGTAGCCCAATCTCTTGACTCCAGTGTCAGGAAGAGCTACTCAGGGAAGCACAAGAGCCTTGCCTCCCTTGTGCCAACCAGCTTCTGTAGTGGTTGTGTTAAGGATGTTGGAGAGTACGACCCATTCTGCTTCTTTTAGAATTTCCTAATATGCCTGTGGACCATCTGTCTGAGTAACCTCTTTTTGTCCTTCCTGGTACTGCCTGCCTCCACAGACTCRGGTGACAGCAAGTTCCAGAAGGTTGTTGTTCCTGTAAAGACCTGTAAAGACCTGCTCTCCTGTTTGTTTCAGTGAGTTTCCTCTATATGCAGTATAGTGAGAACAAATCCTGCATTCACACAGGCAACAAGGACATGGGAATCCTAAGCTTTAAGCTGGCACTGCAGCATGCAGTACTCTGCTCTTTTAGAAGTGAAATTTCCTGGCCAATTTCCTGGAGGAACAACAGTGCCACATCTAGACAAGTTCTTCTGTAAGGTCTGTATATATCTGTATTACATTCACACTGCTTTTCTTGTAGTGCTGCTTCGCAGAGAGCCAGATAGCCTAGATGTGATGGTGATGATCCATAGGAGATAACTTTACGATTGTAAGCCAAACTGTAGTAACTTTTCACTTTAATACTTAGTTTATTTCTTGCAGAAAAATACAGACTCTTTGGATGCMCTTGGGAGCTGTAAATGCTCAACTCGTATAATGCCTTTCAAATGACAGGATTCATTTGAGCAACCAGGAGTCGCATAATGAGTCAAGTCTAATGAATCAAGAGTGAAA